GTCTTCACAGATCCAGCACCTATCTGCCTCTTTAAACCTTCTTTGGTAATCATCTGTAATAATACGCTCATGCTTAATAGCTAAGACCTTATTTATTTCTACCAATTCTTGATCGATCTTTCGAATAAATTCTTCTGTGACATTTTCTCCGCGATATAAGAAAGGGCCTCATGTTTCTCCAGTATCAATCCAGTGGACTTTATAACTAAAACTATTAACTTCTTCCTCTGCTATCTTTCGCATGTTTCCATCATAATGTGTGTCACACTTCTTTTTTAATGACTCGAGATCTGCAAAAATAACACATGTGGCATTGATCTGACGCCCATAATTCCTAAACTCTTCAAAATCATTAACATCTTTTACAGGCATAGTGACTTTTTGTGGGGCTTCACCCAAACCAAAACATCATTTCTGGTGATGGTCTAATGATTTTTTAGATGGAAAACTTTGAAAGTATCGGTTGCATAAATATTTCTTTTCTTTATGAGATGTATTCTTATTTACTAATCCATTTGGATTCTTAATCCAGAGGAAGTGATTCTTTTATCCATACTTACCTTCCTCAGATTTTGTAATATCTGTAGGGGCTAAAAGATAGATAATATGTTGCCTGTTATAGTTTTTACTATAAAGAATGGGTTTAGGAGTACGTGTTTCTTTTTTCCACTTCCAAATATTTATAGAGATATCTGGATTCATCTCCTCAATCTTTTTAAATGTTCGTAGACAAATTGGATTAGGCATTGGAATTCCATCGAGCATGACCACATCTAAATATGGTTTATATTTTGTAGCTCAAAAGATTCGTTCAAGATGATCTGTATGTCCATCCTGATAGGCAAAATAACAACCTAAAGCACCTTGAAGACATTTTTCAGAAGGTTTTTTTTGTCTCTAGATCAATGAGACCTTTATTATCTGGATTAATTGTACATTTTGTATTGGAAAGTTTTTTGGGAATATCAATGTGAGAACCTCCAAAAGCTCAACAAAGTGTATATGACTCTATAAGAATCATTTCTAATCGCAGAAGGATTTTACCTGATTCTTCTTTCAAATATCTCTCGATTTTTTGATCGATTTCTACACCAGATTGGGTTATATACTCATCTATATATTGTTCTGAAAGAATTTCACATTGGTAGCTTCTATGATATGGATGATGATATTTGGCAGTATAGTTTACCCGATCTGAAATATCACCTGATCCTTTATATGTATATGATGCATATGTAGCATATATGACCAATGCCGATTTTATTTGATCCCTTTTGTGAAGCTCTTCTTTAAGAACTTCTGTGATTGCCTCACGTGCTTCTGAAATGAGTTGGGGCATATAGGGAGCATTTGCATATTCTATTTCATAATCTTGCTCTTTATTGAATGCATAGCCAGAATTTTTGCATGATGGAATAACTCCCTCCCATACAGTTATACATTTTAGAGAGCTGTGTTGTCTGGCAGGATCACGCTCTCTTTTCAAGAATATTATATCACCATCAGGTGGTTCTTCTTGTACAATTTTTGTGGAATATGCTCCTGCAGAATAAGTCCTATCTTTTTCTTCATAAATTGACCGAAAATGCGTCTTAGAAGCATACTCCTTTTGTGCTTCATATTCTTGCCTTTCGGCTAATGGAAGCTTTTCTATCTCTGCTAATGTCAAAAGTCTAGCTTCTTTGGGATCATGATGCTCTTTCTTACCAATTAATCTCTCTCTGTGAACTTGAGTTGATAGACCGGATCCACCTTCGGGATCAGGAGTTTGGTTAATCACTTTTGGCTTCTCCTGAGCGTCTTGTCGCTCAATTATGCTAGGTCTCTCCTTTTGACCCTGCTTTTGACTAGAAGTCTCAGAAGTTAGAGCTTGCTTTGGTATACATTGATTTTTATTACTTTTATAATGCTAACGAAGTTTTTGAGGTGTGGCAAAAGTCTTATTACAGCAAATACATTTACGATTTTTTTTGTTTTTTCTAACCATGATACTATAATAAGTCTAATCTCTAATATATATGTAAACTTTTGCTCAATTTAAATTAATTAATCATTAACCCTAATATTCAATTATCTTTTTTTTTAAAAAATTATGAGAGAATAGGGCTAAAAAGCGCCAGCCTTGCATGGAATCAGGATGTGGTAAGCCTACTGGATCATCTTGTGATCGTTGTCATCTTCACATTAGGGATTATTATATGATTCAATATGTTAATAGACTTCAGGATAAGGCCATGATGTTTGATATGTGTTCAAGAGGTTAGACTTTTAGTAAAAGATAGATGTATTATATAATTAGTTGAGAGGTTAGACTTTTATTGCAGTTAGATTTTACATATAGGTATACGAAAGATTAGACTTTTTTGTCTCAGGTTTGTGTAAAGGAAATGGCTTTAGAATGGTTTCCTATATATTGATAAATTGATAACATGCTAGAACATAATCATTAAGCTTTTGATTTGCAAACTAGATAACAGCTAAATATAACCTCTTTGAGGTTAGACTTAGCATATGATATACATTTTGAGCTTGCATGGTCAGGCCCAGCTCAAATCACATCACTTTATTTCTTGATTTTTGATAGCTCCTCCTGAGGCAAGTAGAATAGTAAAATTTTTTTGAAATATTATTTGGGATTAAAATTAGACTAGAATGGCTAAATCAAACATTGTAATTCTTGGTATCAGACAGGCTAATTCCTAATCAAGTTTGATAACATAATCTAGAATTGAGTCAAAATACGCTAGAAGTTTGAATTTGATAATTAATTCATATAGCTAAAATGGGTTCGTGAGCGGTCAGGAATCTTTTCTGAATACTATTTTGAAACCTGTCCCAGAAACCCCATTTTGGCCTTACTTAGTATAGATCTAGATGAAGCGAACTTACACCTTTTGGTGGTAGCTACCATCACACCTTATAGACATCTCAGGGTCACCATATTCTACAAATTTGTGATTTTCAACATATATGGCATGTACGCTACAATGAGGTATTTATATAATATATGTTTACATACTTAAATTCGTTAAACGTAATATGAATTTTATTTTAATAAATTCAGTATAGTAAAGTTTTTTCTATGAGGATTTGGCGGTCCTAACTTAGCGGTAAAACACTAAGCCCTATTGTAGGTTACACTGCGATAGACTCTAGTTTAGCCTCCTAGCCAAGGCAAATCACAACAAATTAAGTTTGCGGGATTTACTGATTTGATTCTGAAAATGAATATCATAGGATACGTACATACCATACACGTTGAAGATCATGAATTTGTAGAATATGGTGACTTTGAGATGTCTATAAGGTGTGATGGTAACTACCACTAAAAGGTGTAAGTTCACTTCGTCTAGATCTATACTATTCTGACAACAGGTAGTGGTAATAGATATTCTCACCTATCATGAATCAATTGAGTTTAGAACCAATAGTGTGGCTGGTCTGTAATGAATAAGTGCCACATTGTCTGCAAAGGGTACCTATGAGGTAAAATCAATGGTAGGTACTGTATAACTTGGATTGAACAAAAGTCGCAGGTTATAGGTGGTTAATATTACAGTGTCTTCAATCATTGTGTTGCCTATATCACAACTAGGATTTTAAGGCTGGAGTTCGATTCTCTGGGTGACTTTGATGTATGGCGAGGCAACTATAATGTAGACTATCATCTTAGGTTGTTCTTGATCCTAATTTCCAGTAGTAGTGATAAATGTACATGATGATGGTTACCATGAATTTTCCTACACAGGATTAATGATGTGGCAGTCTATTCGGGTATTTGACATTATGTATCTAGGCTTCGCATACTCACACTGGGCTTAAAGTGTTAAAGGGGTAAAGTAATTTGATAACAAATAAGTCGTATAGCTACTTGTAAGCTGTGTGCACTATCATAATCATCAGTGTGATCCTAGTAAAGCAAAAAAAAGGTTTTTCCTATGATAGCTAGTACTTTTCTTTTTCTTATTTTTAGTTTAATTTATGTATTTCAATTAATAAAGTTACTGGTAGTGCCACATCGTAAAAAAAAAAGGTTTTTTCTATATTTAAAAATTAGTATCACACTGTAGATTCATTATATCATAAAATTCATTATATCAAAATTCACTATAGAAAGAGTTGACTGTATTGATTTACTTGATATAACTTTTAATGTATCAAATACCTCCTATTATGTCAAAATTAATGATGACTTTCTAAAGTATAAGAATGAAGATTAAATGATTCTGGATAATTAAATAATCGAAATAATAGAAGATATACAAATGAATAAGTTATGATAAAACGTATTAATATTTATAATAAATATGATAAAATTAATGATTTTGATAAATATACAATATTTTCTTTTTTCTTATTTTTGATAATTGAATGTTTTATAATTTACATTTACTTTTTGAGATAATACTGTATATGAAATCATATGATTAACCATTAAAGAATAAGAAAATTTAACACATTGTAATATTTTCACTAAGGATAATATAACAGATTTCAGAAAGAATTCCAAATAATTAATACTTTCCCTCAAGAATTTTGAATATGATTTGTTAACAAAATGAAGTTTCACATATCATATTTTCTAGGGTAATTTTGAAAAGGTCCCCTAATATGATGTTGGTTGGTTTGGTTCGAAGTATTAAGTAAAAAAATTATCTTAAAGAAAAATCTAGTTTTAAAATTTATTGGTAAGTTTACATATTTATGTGAACTGAATAACTTTCAATAAAGTAAAATCATTTCAAATTTGCAATTATAAAATTAACTTTTTTTTTATTTAAATGCAATATTGATTTTATTTTTCTCCGATTATTATTTGAATTGTGCTTCACACTTTATTTCATTATCACTTTCTTCTTCCTGACGATCCATTTTATCTATCTTAATATGATTAAATAATTATCATTACCATTACCCGCTTCTTTAAACAATACGTCATCATCTTCATCGTCATCGTCATCATAATCATCGACGACATCACCAACTTCTTCTTCTATTGACAAATTTCCATAATGTTCTATCCATCTCATCTGCAGATGATCTTCCCATTTCGTTGCTGCCCACTTCATCATCTTCCACACTTTTTTCCATTAAAAATAAGCATTTTAAAAATCAAGCCAAAAATTTTAAATTGAAACAGAATTACCATATTTTTGCGTGGCTAATCTATAAGCTTCTTTTTCTGCTTTCATAATTTAAACATTTTTCTTGTTCGTTTCGTTTTAAAACAGCTTGTTGTTGTCTTTCACATTCAATCTTTCTTATCTCTGCAGGTGTTCTCTTAACTAATAAAATAGGATTTATAATTAATTAATATATAAATATTTTCGGATAATGGTCATAAAATACTTACAGAATTCGTGAAATTAAACTTCTCCATCACAAAATCCACTTTGAAGTTTTAACCAATTGTAATGGTCCGCTTCAACTAACTTGATGGCATGTTGATCAGCTTTCTTATTAATCTTACCGACAAGGTCTGGCAATATTTCTGTGGTTTCAAATCCACTTTCAACTCACTTTCTGAAAATTCCCATCTAAATATAAAAAAATAAAATAAAATCGTCAATAAGAAATCATTTTAAATATTTAAAAGTCATAGATCACCTCAATACGAATTCATTAATTCGTGTAAAACTTGCACATTAGAGTTTATTATTAATCGTATACATTTATTAGTTCCTATTGGTTCACTCTTATAATGATCTAAATTCTATTGTATTCGCGCCCTTGAATACGACTCTACGGGAATCTGTTAATTGAACCTAATTTAAATCAATGTGTTAAAATAAATTCTATTACAACAACATTTGGGAACTCGAATGAAACTAATTAATTACCTTGTTGACATTTATAGAAGGAACATGCTTTGAAACATAGTCGTCATTAAATTCAATTTTTTTTTCATCACCAATGTTATTTAATACAAGCTTAAAACGAAAAAAAAAAACACGTTAAACAAATAATTATGTTCTATCAATAATAATAAAAAATTTTAATTCTCACCAATGGAGAAAGAAGTAAGGAATTCTTATCCAAAACTTATTGGATTAATTTGAGATCTCTAATTAAAGAATATTTTATTAGTTCCATCGCTCTGTTCGTGTAATATTAAAATTGTGTTACCCCGCTACCTAATGAATTTAGATTAGTAGTTTGATGATAAGCGACTGTTTTTAATTATAAGGAACATAATAATATTGTGAATATTACTTTAATCGTATTGTAGTATGCGGTTCCATATCTCTTCAACAGTCTTTTCTTACATCGCTCGATTTAAATACTTTTTTGGAATTTTTGATCTATCAGGATCATCCGTTCTTTCATCAGCATTAACATGAGTTTTTTTCTTTTTCTACAATTTTTTTTTTTTGGAGGCAGAAATTTGTAAATCTATCAACATTTAAATCATTCACAAAATCATTTTTATTTGTTATAAAAATAAATGAAGGAAAAAATAGATGAATAATTTACTCGTTTTTGCTTTTTTTTTGTCTACTCGGGGGAGTGGAATTAGAAATACCCCAAAAATATTTTGTAAGAAGGTTTTGGAAACAAAAAAAAAAAATTTTTTTTTCTTATTTATCTTATCAACGTAAAAACACAATTCGTGTAACTTACTATTTATAAATATTTTGCGGGAAATTTTGATTGCAAATTCCTAATTTGAATATTAGTAAATAGTAAATAAAGAGAAACCATCCCGTTGTTTTTAAAGTTTAATTAATTATCGCGTAATTCCTTTTTTTTGAATGGAAACTTTTTGAGGTGGTGCATTTATATTTATATCAACGAAATAGATAGGGTTCAATGTCGGACATTTAGTGATGGTCCGTCATTTCTTCAATGTCTGCATCTTCACATTTTAGGAATCATTGATGAACTTTCTAATTGACTTTTTTTTTTTATTAGCAAATCAAATCTTTCGCAAAATTGGCGTAGAAAATAGCTTTTATGCATGAAGAAAGTCGAAGAAAACAAATATAGTCATCTTAAAGATCTGCTGAAACCAAATAGTAGTAAGTAAATTAATTTAATGTTTATTTGCTAATCGATGAATGATTTTGTATGCCAAGCGCCAATGCTGGTGCAAGTCCAGTGTCTAACCAAGTGCCCAGCCTTTTTTATCAAGCACCAGGCGCCCATGTTTGTGTCTGGGTCTGTGATCATATTTTGTAAAGCACGGTTCGTGTGCAGAATTCTAGTAATCGGGATTAGACACCCATCTCCCGGGAACGAGATAATTTTCATATGAACTATTTAATTTGGATCAAAAAAAAGGTATTTGCCTACATCATTTATTCGAACGCAAAGGATATCATTTATTTAATCTTCTCCTTTCTTTTGATTTAGGTAAAGTTGAATCCTGCTAACCCAGTCGTAGGACTATTGAGGTAATTATGTCCGGAAATTTGAAAAATATCGCATTAGTAAAGTATGCAACCGGGTATGGCTAACCGGGGACTCGTAAATTTTCTGAAATGATAAATGACATTTATAAGTGATTGTTGCTATTTGTTGCCAATCTGTAATCTCTTAATTTCAAGAAAAATCCAAAAAGAATTTACGGGTTCCCGGTATAGAATCGTGATGTAGATGACTTTAAACGTTTTCTCGGTTTGGTAAAGATGATGGTCCAACCCATTTTTTTTTATTCACAGGGGAGAAATGGATGGGTTGTTGTTCGGTCCCAACTTTGAATATTTCACCAAGTATCAAAAATTTTGGAAATATTTAGTTGGAAATTTAATTTAATTTTTCGATAAAAAAAAAAGAAGGAAAAAACCCCCACCTCTACACGATATGTATACAGTATCTTCTCATGTAAGAACCTACAAACAAAAAAAAAAATGATGAACATACTTTTAAGAAATTGTAAAGTAGAAGTAACATTTTGTAATATTGGTCGTAACTTTTTCTCGAATGGTCTTCTCTTATCCAAACGATCAAGAATTTTCCACTGGGACAAATGAAAATGTCGTACACGGTGACACGATGCAATGCAAAATTATTAAATTTTTTTTTTACCTGCACCCGGTTGTGAGTTAATAAGGATTTTAAATCAACCTTTAGAAGGCATTGATCTGCTGACACTTTTGATTGATGTGTTATTTTTGTTTTGGTGACTCCATAGACCTGAGGCGTTATCCTAACCTATTTAGGTAGGAATACAAGCTCGTCATTTCAGCCAACTTCTCAAATTAATGAATCATTTTTTATTTTTACACAAAAAAGCAAATAAAAATAATATTTGGGAATTTAAGTATTGTCAAAAAACTTGATTTGCATTTACTCTCAAAGTTTTTTTTTGTCATTATTCGAAACTTTATTTCATTGGTGTGATTATTTAAGTATTAATTTTTTTTCATTAAAAGCTTTTCATTTCACCAATAACTCCTCGTAAACCTTAATAAATGATTCATCACTATCCTCATCAAAAACAGAAACGAAAAAAAGAAAATATTTGCTAAAAATCACCGGCTCCACGGAATTTATTCCGAGAATCGAATATTAGGGAGAGTTTCAAAGAACTAGCTTCTATACTGGTTCATTATCTACGCAAATATGAATTTTGTCTGGATGTCGATGCTGGTTCTTTCCGTTACACTTGTGCTCCGGACTCAACCAACGGTTTCCAAAACTGTTCCCTAGTATATTATATAAAATATATCCGGTGATCATTTGATAACTAATTTAAAAAAAATTAGCGTTCCCTAAGTGGTCCCCTGTTCAATTACACAATTATCTAATATTTTAATATTATATAATACATACATACATATATATTACATGTATGTATATATGTATGTACGTAGGATACTTACTTTTTATATTTTATATATATATTTTTTTTTTTGATCAATACAATATGTTCAGAAAAGATCGATTGACGAAAGACGAACTTGTGAAATCCCTTATTCCAGCTATCTGATTTCACATGAAATTGCGTGATCAGTTTTTCAAAGAAACGCTCTTGGAAATCTTAAATTTTAGCGTAAGATAGCTTTAAACGTATATGGTTAATGAAAATTTTTCATTTGTTAATCAGCTGATTTCAATAAAAAAAAAAAGGTGGGGCGAGTTTATGTCGCGTCCCCCTGTATCGATTTTAAAGGTTTAAGGGGTCCAGTCAGAAAAAAAAAATTTCGAACCTTAATTTCATACAAGTATAAATTTGATTTTTGCCTTTTCAAGTTAATGTTTTATTTTTGTTTTCACAAAAAAAACAATCATTGAAATTCGCATTATTCTTATTATTATGTCTTTGTTTGCTTCTCGAAACCTTTTGATGTTGATGACGCTTCTTAATCACATAAGAATAAACAACATTGCATATTATTGTTCAAATGATTTTTTAGCCAATGAAAGAGAAAAGATGCAATCTGACAATAAGAAAGAAAACCTTAAATTATGGAATTCCGAGTTTTCCAACTAAGGAGGTAAAATGCGGGACATTCCGGGATTTTGATGATCAATTTCAAAAATGTAATCTTAATTGAAACCGCCAAATTAAAAATTTCTTCCCACCCCACCATAATTGATTGTACAATAACTAACTTTATTTATAAACCTGCAGGGAACAATGAGCCCAACAATAAATGTCATACGTAAAAGTGTAAATTACCTCCTCACAACGGAACAAACATTTCATTTGTCAAACTGGTGTGCGCATTTTTCAAGATTAAATTTTTTTTCCATCGATACGCATGATGATAGATTTACTGTTTAGAGTGATGTGCATCAATTTATTGTCATGCGGTCGCTCATGGGCGTAAGGTTATATTACAAAGAAGATGGCTTTTCACCATTATAAACCGGTAGAAGGTAAGGTTCCTTATCTTACAATTAAAAAAAAGATAAGGAGCACAAGTATGGCATTTGACCAAAAAAAAAAAATTTAAAGTTTAATTAAATATTATGCAGAACTAATAAAGATCTTTTTATTAATGTATAAAAAAAATTAAAATAGATTCGGAGAATTATCGATCTGAGACAATTAAATTAAAAGCCGCGTCGTTTGACATTTCAAGGAAAGACCTGTGTTATCATGTAACAAACAAACAGTTGTGATGCAACGTCAAAAAAAGCGTTTTGCCAAGCGAATAAAAGAAATAGTTCAAATGATTAATAAAAAAATATCAAAAAAAAAGCGGTTCAAATCTTTTCTACCAATTCATTCCATCACCGAGTCAATAAACAATGATTTGCGAGGAGCGAAACACGGCATCAGATAAGGAAAACGCGTGTTTAATTTACCGTGAAATATAGTATTTTGATATTTGAACAATCGATTATTTGTCGGGGTCATTCTATGAAAAGAAAGTACCTGGTTTTCAAATCTGGTATCTTCAAAAGAATCAAAAGAAATTTTTTTTTTGTTTATTGTGTTACAAATTCATATAAATGAACTTTAATGATCAATTTAACTATTTTTGATTTGAGTTTTTTTTTTCGGAATGCGTTTTGTAATTTTTTTTTTTTTAAACAAAAAAAAAAATATTAATTTTAATTTTAAATTTTCACAATGTAGGGGGTCTAAACATATACTATTGTGTAAGTGACACGAACATTGAATTTATTATTTTTTTTTAAACTTATTTGGTTTCATGTTGTTTTGTTTACCTATTACAGCGCAAATATAAATTATTTTATATTTAAGAACAAGTTTTTTGTCAAGTTATACAGTTTACACATTTTTTCTCATATCAAACTTCCGTATTCCGTAAGAAAAATATGTCCAGGATGAATCGCAGTACACTCCCTATAAAACAATAAAAATAGTCTGGAACTATTTTCATTAATCAGGCTTCCTATCAGCTCTCGGTATCGTAAACCGTTGGGTATCAAGCCTTCTCCTGCAAAAATCGCGTTCGATTGGATTTGTTTCTTCTTACGGATTCCCCTTTTCCTTTAATCATCCGACTTCCATCAGGGATCGCGGTCGATCCTTTCCCAATATATGAACATTTTTCTTATTTTAATATAAATTAAAAAAAAAACAAAAAAAAAAAAAAAAAAACCATATAAAATCAAAAAAAAATTATCTTTTAGATTCACGTCGCTTTAATTGTACATTAATAATGTAAATAATTAATTAAAAAGTGTCTTATACGAACATTGTCAAAATAGATTTCAGATATTATTATTTAAACCGTCCTTTATAATCCTCTTACTAGTTACGCTCATTGATGAAATAATCATTGAAAAGAAAAAAATTTATGTGGTGTTGCTATTACTAGCTCTTTTGTAGTATTCAAATAATTTTTTTTTCTTTTCCTTGTGACTTACATCTAATATTCTTTTCGATCGTGATTGTTTCTGCGAATTATTGGCGCTTTTGCACCATTTTCTTTTTCTTCTTTTCTTTTTATTTTTATTTTTCGTATATTTTTTTCGTATTATTTTTTTTCGTGTTATTTTATACCTCGAGTTTCGTAAAGTCTTACCAGAGCCAGAGTTGGACAAAAAAGGTAGACTATTTTTTTTTCTTCGTAAACAGCTGTATCAAATCATTATCTACACTCAATTGAGTCGACTCTTTACTAAGTTAAAAAAAGGATTAATTTTATTAAACCATTTATATGCATTTTCGTTTTCACCATTTTTAAGATAAATCATAAGAATTATAATATATGTAATTAGCTAAATCGGTTTAACAATTTTGTTTGTATTTATTATTTTAGTATATTGTTAGTACAATCATAAACAAAAAAAATTCATCGAGTTTTGAGTTTTGAGAATAAAATATTCTTCTTTATTTCCTTTTTAAAAGAAAATTGAATGCGATTTAAAAAATGTATTTTTTAAAGTATATCATATCGATGGAGCATAATGATATTCATTTATTTCAAGCTGTCGAATTTTTTTTATTCACATACATCCTGCAGGGATATTAAATCTTAACGCAGTGTCCATTGAAAATCGGATCTGAAAAAAAAAGAATTATGTGAGGCTGTGTTACTGTTTAATTGGTTGATTGGTCCGAATTTGATTGGCCAGATTTGCTTGGTTTTTTGTTTGACAAATAAACAAATCCTACACGAATGTTAAAAAAAAAAAGCGTTAGTACAGATTCTAACTTTTTCTTGGTTAAATGACATACAATAAACTCCAATTTCTTATTTCTTAATTTTTATACAAACTTCTTTTAAAATGCATAATCGTCTAGAAACAAAATAATAAAAAATACAAAAAAATTCATATATTGACTCTTTACATTAAAAATTAACTAAGTATCAAACAAAACATTGTAATAGTTAATCATCTCTTCTCTATCGGTATTGTAAACAGGTCAGGTTTTTTAAACAAAAGGTTTTGGTAGAAAGATAACGTATTATTATTTGACTGGGATAGTGGTGATTGGATTTTATGTGTTTGTATTGAATAATGCAATAAAGCTGGAATTACCGGTAACCGGTTGAAAATTTGTGTTGATAAAATTTTGCACCGTAATTGGACAGCCAAAAAAAAAAAAATTTCATGTTATATTAAAATATATTCTTCTTGTATTCTTATCAATATGTTCTTTATTTCTTATCATAATTCGAGCTTTCTGTATTATTTGTTAATAACTTTTTTAATCCTTCTTAAATACGCTTATAATTAAATTTTAAATTGATCGACGTTTCCCAACTTTCGCTACATTGCAATTGTTTTTAATAAATTTAATTACTCCCTTACTAAATTAAGAAATAACACACGATTAAGGGTGTATCATCTAACAGAGAGTCTTGGGACCAGAAGTAACCAAAAAATACCTGGTATACCACTAACTCTCGCATAACCTTCCGCCATGTTTCCAGCTCCTTGTACATGTATTGGGAAAATAAAGTTAAAGTGTTTGGAGTTTAATAACATCAAATACGGGGAGGGGAGGATTTCCCCTTCTTGATATCCAAACACTTGTTCTACACCATGATGCAACATCATCTAATGAATTAATAGACGATAGAATCACAAAAGAACAATCATATGCTGTACTTTAACCAGCAATTGATGGTGATAGATGGTGACTTTACTAATAAATTGCAAAAAGAAGAATTTATTCATAATAAATGCAATCTAAGTATTTTTTTTTTAATGGTGATTATTATTAACAAGAGAAGCAAACGTTAGCACTTTATTAATTTATCTCGAAAATGAGAGAGCAAAATAGCCGAGTCAGCATGTGCGGATCATTATCTAAAAAAAAATCCTTTAAATATATAAAAAATTTTCATTACCTAATATTGTGTACCCTTGAAATTTACTAATATATTATTTAAGATTTTTTTTTTTAAAAAAAATAATCAAATTCATTGACTTTGGCTTTTCATTTTAGAAGTTTATATTAGTAATAAATACCTTCTCATCGTATAATAGTGGATAACTTTTCGAAACTCTATAATCACTTGCAACTTTCTTCTTATAATGCTTTTAATATTTAACATGTGACAAGAATTCAAGAATTTTGCTTCCGCCAGACTCCGCATACACTACACAAGAAGCGAGTATAATTTCCAGCATCATTTCCAGATCATCCATATAAATGATAAGTCTTGACTATATTTAGTGCCCACGATAAAGTATTCATTACACGAAAGTTAAATAATGTGAGAAAAGTCCACATGGAATCCCTTAAATGGTAATAATTAAACAACAATCACCACCATATTTATTATACTTTTTTTCTTAGGAACATTACCAAAATAAATTTATTTGTTCAAAAATTTTATTTACAAAGAATTATATTATTTTCAAATCAATTAGATATTTAATCCAACTTCATATTCTTCAAACGCATATAATTATATTAATATTAGTATGATATGATGATGTTTCATCATTTATTGGTATAGCTATTGGCATCTTTTTTTAAAAAAAAAACTTCATTTTTCTTTACTATTTTTCGAGTTCGATCATTTGGTATGCATTTTCAATTTTTTAATTTTCGCTTTGGGCTGCAGCGATAGAATGTTTTCGAATTTATTTTTTTTTTAAAAAAAAACATGATAGGGCGTTGAAATAACTCTAGCATGCTTGACAAAATGGTTTGGCTAATTATTTGGTTTGTTTACATAAATAAAGCTCTATCTTTATTTTTTATTTAACCCTTATTTTTCTAAACATAAAAAAAGGACTAGGATGATTTAATTGGTTTGATATGTTTATTTCTAGACATTGTTAAAATAAAATTTATTATTAAGACAGATAGTTCTTGCCTTTACGGTACAAATCGTTTGGTCGGTATGGTGGATCGGTACATACCGTCTTATTCAAACCGGTAGAGCCTCTAGATTTCGATGTTTCATATTGTATGATGTTACAATTCACGTACTTGTGTCACATTTCTTGCATTATAAAGGGCTTTTTTCTTCAGTATGTGACTAAAAAAAATATAATAATAATAATAAATTTAAATTTAATTATCGAATAAAATAATTTACATGATTAAATAAATGACAAAGGTAAAGGCTAACCGGTTGTTAATATTTTCTGTCCCCCTTTTTTTTAACAAAAAAAAATAATATCGATCTTAATATATCCGTTTAAATTATAATAATCGGCTGGTGTAAAAATAAATTAACTGAGTTAAAAAATCAATTCACTTCTGAATTGTATTTTTAATATATTTAGTGATAATTTGAGATGAAATTATATTTATTTATAAAATTCGACTAAATTCCAAAAACTTTATACTAACTTTTCACTAAAATAACATTTATTCTTCCAAATGCAATCACCCTTTTTTTATTAATTAAAATTTATTTTATAAAAATAAAATAATTTTTTGGTAACCTTATAATATGATTATAAAGCAGTATAAAATATATATATATATGTCCAGACTCTTTCTAAAAATAACCAAGTTTACTTTTTGAAATATTATGAAAAAAATGGAGCTTACCTTTTAGTGGGCTAATATTTTTTTACGAATCATTTAAGCTCATTTTTAATAATATATTTTCAAATCTTTTTGTTATAAAATGTGCTTATATCGATATTTATTAACGTTAAGTAATAGACAACTTATTTGAACAAAATTTTTTGAACTTTTCAAGCTCATTAAAGTATTTTTTTTTTAAAAAATAAAATCTCTTTATAACAATTCTCTTATATAACCGCATCTGCAAGATAATAATAATTCTTAGTCACAACTATAAAAAAATAATGTTTTATTTATAAATAAAGTGAATTTTAAACTTTAAAATTATATAAAATTTTTAAAATATATTCAATTATCAAATTAACAATCAATATAAAGCAAGATATTTTATATAAGTTATTTTAAAATTTGAATTTATATTAATTAGATTCTAAGGAAGATGCTAAGATTTCTAACTTAAAAATAAGATTCCATATTTAAGAGTTAAACTTAAGAGCAGAATAGATATTATAATTTGATCAACTTTTTTTTATTTTAAATAAAAATATTAAGATAATCGTAAAAAATGAATAATATGAGTTTAGCAGATAGGTCAATTTTATTAAAATTAAAAATAAGATTTTATTTATTTATATATTAAAGAATCCAAATATTATTTATAAGTAATTTAATATAATGATAATATATATTTTATTATCTAAATAATTTCTTAAATTAATTATATCAAAAAAGATCTTTTGAAATTTTTCAAAATGCTCATATTTTTAAACTTATAATATAATATTTAATTTTTAATAATATAAATAATAGTATAATAGATATAAATATAAACTTAATATACTAAAAAAATCATATTTAGCATATTTAATAAAAATTTTATTTCACAGATTTTTTCTTTTTTAATGTAAAAAGTCTATATATTAATAATTAATGTTTTTTAATGATTTATAGAAAATCAGATAATTTTTTTTATTTATTCTTTTTTGAATAATTAGTAAAGAATGAGTTTCTTTTTTTTAGATTTTATTTTAGGTTTGAGTTTTATAATTATTTTTTTGATTTTTAATACTAATTCATTTTTCTTTAATTTAGATTATTGCAGAAGACTTATTAAAAAATTTTTAATATTAAATATTCAAATATTATATTTTTAGTTTATTGTATAAGAATTAGGGATGTAGACTTCTAGTTTGTTATATATAATTGTGACGTAATGTATATTGATGTTATTACATCTGATTTGTAACTCAAATAAAATTCACAAAAATTAATAATGCTAAAACTAAACTCAGGGAATCACAATGAAGATCTATTGTAAACGTCATAAATTATTCTCAATTACACATGAGTAACTTCTGGATATTTTAGAGATTACGTTTTAGTGACTACAGTTTAAGTCAATACAACGAATCAATACAATACCATGCAAAGTTAATAAACAATAATAACATATATACAGGTTAAAGGGTTACGAAGTATAAGTTTTAACTTGGTTAATTATACGCTTTATTAATAATATAATAAATTATAAGTTCTTTATCTCATAAGGTATTGAGACTTAATAAAATACAGTAATATTTATACATGTTTTATAATTATAAAATAAACTAAACTAAATATATCTATGAAAAATAAATGACATCGTCAAGGAAATAAAGTTGATAAAATTGATCAGCAAAGATGATCATGTCAATAAAGTTGCCCGTTATACTAGAAATAAAATTGACATCTAGATCTACAATGTTTTACATTGATTATGTCAAGACATAAAGTTGACATCAGAATCGATGAGATGATAAACAAGGACATTTAATTGACATTGGATTTGTAATCAGATTTTAGCCAAAATTTTACACTGTTATAACGTAATATATCAAATTATATATAAATTTATATAATATAATAAATTAACATGACTTTTAAGAAAGTAAAAATCTGCATTTTTAATAAGAACATGTTTTCAGGAGATTTAATATTTTTGGAAAAAATATGCTTAACTTAATATTGTTATTTAATTTAATATGTTAATATAATAAAATAATAAATATTTTAATAGACAAAGTTTAAATCTGAAAGAATATTTATACATAATTATAAATGATATATCAAGATTATTCTTAGATTTTAATTATATATAAAAAAAAATTTTTTTAAATAAATTTTTTTAAAAAGATCAAAAAAAATCTTTTTATTATTAACCTTTTACTTACTTTTAACTTTATTTATAACTATAATAAAAAGAACTACATATTATAATCTGCTATAAAAATGTCAGAACTAATCAAAATTTAATTTATTGATTAATATTACAAAAATTATTTAATATTTACATGAATAACTATTTCTTAAGTATAAATTTATTTTTTTTTTTTCAAGAAAAGGGTTTTAAAGTATGTAAAACAATCAAAATGAATACAGCAAAATTTTTTATAATCTTAATAAAAAAAAATCTTATAAATACAATTATAATAAATTAAGCATAACTTTAGAATTTATTATAAAAACTAATCTGATATTACCTTTATAAATTCTATACTAATCCTAATAAATAATAAATAAATAATAAACTATTAATAAAACTGGCGTAAGTCTCTTAGATTCTTAAAGATAGATGAGTTATAATAGTTTTTAATTTATAAACTGAAGCATTAGAACTATTAGATCTAGAAGAAAAAGAAGTATTATGATTTAATATATTAAAAGTAAATTATAATAAGTAATAAGAATATCATCAATTATGATAAAAAGTAGTTTCTTATTATTAAATTCAATGAAATATTAGCGTTACCATTTTTACTTTATATATTATAATAGATTACCTATAATTAATATGATAAATAAGTAATTTAATGAGTCACCTAATATTATAGATTGCTGAAAAATATTAATTTAAAGAGTTAGATAAGCAAAAATCAGTTTTTAAGATTTATATATCACAAACGTTTATTCTTAATCTGATAAGAATTAATTGATATATATTAAAATTTGCAAATCTGTTATTTTAATTACTATTTGATAAAAATATTTTACACAATAATAAAATTAGTAATAATCAATAATA